GGTGCTAAGGAGTCTTTTTTTTTTTTTTTTTTTTTCCCTCCAGTGCAAGACAAGGGAATAAAGAACTGTAAATTGCATAATCTCCCTTGAAGGAGCAAATGTTCACTTTTCCACAATACATACAAATTTTCAAGATACTCTTCAATAAATACTTCTTATGCTTGAGAAATAGTCTCATTTAGTAACTATTCTTTTTTTTGAAATGGAAGTATGTTTCTGAAGGGAGGGTATTGTGTAACTTTAGAAACTATTTCAGATGTTCTTATGTACTTAACTGGTTTGTTCTTTAATTTTCAATTTGTCAGAATTTTTTCTCTCTCTAATCCTATATAACGCCTCTACACTGCTAATTGCTATTTTATTGTATTTTTCTGGCATTGAAGCTGGAAAACTGCCTCTGACAGGCTTTGAGGGATAGAGAGGTGAAGCAGAAGGCACTTGTTTGGTTGTTTTCGTTGTTTTTTTCCTCTGTTCTCTGCCAGAGTCAGCTGTGTGATGGGAACGCTCACTGTGTTATGCCAGGCATGTTTTGCTGGGAAATCATGGTTGTCTGAATCTCTTTCTTTGAAGAGAATAGGACTCTTATTCACGGTGGAAGTCTGCAGATCTCTAAATTACTAGTGGTCCTTTTTTTTTTCCTTTTTTTTTCTTTTCAGGCATTTAGATGTATAAGAGTCTTTGCTTTATTTCCAGCTTGAAATGAAAAGTTCTCTAAAATGAACTATATAAGAGGTATTTCTGTGCATTAGAGCTGCTGTTTCGTATGCTAAACTTCTTTTTCTAATTTTAATTTTTCTCTCTTCTTTTCTCCTCTTTCCAAAGTCTTAAAGATGATTTTGTATAGCTTTTATTTTGTCATAGGCTTTAGCTTTCTTCTCAGGTCACAGGCTACATGCTAACTCACATTACTTATGAGAATAAGCAATTATTTGGATAGTTGACTGTAACAATCAACAGGAAATGGAAGGTAGATAGGATAAGGCAGTCATCCGTGCTTCACGTGCATCAGACAGCTCAGTCACGGATATTGCATCTTCCCTGCTCACCTTCCTCCTTTTTTGCTTTGATGTGATGTAAACTCAAGGGTTTGCAGCAAAACCAGTCTTCTGTTAACTCCACGGATAATGTTTGGAAACTGTTCTTGCTATGAGAACATCATCTGCTTCCCTCTCCACCCCACCCCCTTTTGTTTTTTTTTTTTCTCAGCACCAACTTTTCTAAAAATCATGTTGCAATTTCTGCAAAACTCTGAACGCCCTTTATCAAAGTTTGTGGACTAGCCGTGGCAGGACTCTAAAGATATGACTGTTTGCAAGCACCTCCCATTCAGACTGATCAGAGCTAAATGCACATGGAAGGATCGGCTCTGGTCTTTGGCCATTCCTGTGCTGAGCAGGACCTGGTAACAGTTGTGGGCTTGAGTCAGCAGTAAGGAGAGACAGTCTTGGTGTCAGCATAGAGGCTCTGGTATGGGGAGTGGTGTCACCTGTGGCTTGGCTGTGTTTTGGTGGTTCAACAAAAGGTCATTTTGAATGTAGTCAGGCATACTAACCTCTTGGAGCAGATTACAGGGAGGTTCTGGTTCAGAGCAACCAAGTACCTTATGTTAAAGTACCATCTAAAAGCAGGAAGCCAGTTAGCATTCAGTGCTGCTAAGTAAAAGGTAATAAGCTCTGTCATTTACCTAACAGATTTCACAGATTCAGTTAGCCTAGCCTCTATATGGCACAAAGCTAGGGTTTAGCTAGTGTTAGGAAGGTGTTCTGAATTGTTAAGTTGGCATACGTGGCTGAAAGATGCGCGTTTTGGTAACAACATCCCACGTATTAGTAACAACCTCCCACCTACCTAGCAGAGCTCCCTGCTAATTGATACTGCCCTTTGTCACTGATGTATCTGATGTGAGAGCTGTTCGCTGTGCTTGGGCAGGACTGGATGGAAAAATTATTTTCCTCTTTCTGCATGGCTTCAGAAGTTGTCTTTCTGAAGTGAATGTTGAAATTGTCAGAACAGGGAAAGCCATGGTGATAGTGGTTTTATCTTCAAAGAAGTGCTCGAGCCCTGGTCCACTTGACCTCTTTGTGATACTCGGCCATTTGTGCAGGCAGCAATCAGAAGTCTCTTGACTCATTAATATGACAAAAAGTGATATTGGAACAGCCTTCCTTGTGCATTCATTAGTTGTTCTGATGTTGAAAATCTGTAAAAGCAGCTCATAAATGGCTTTGAACTTGAGTCAATCTGAATATATCAAATTGAGTCTTTTAATTCTTCCAGTGATGTACTGAAATGTTGCGAGCTTTTCTACGAGTATGCTGAAAGTCTTAACTTCTCTCCATCATGAAGTATTTCGTTCTAGGGTTTTACTGAAGTCTCAAAATGTTTGTACACACCCACCTGTGCGTGCACATGTCCACACATGCATGTGCACACACCCAAAATTGCAGACCTATTTTGCTCTGAAAGCAGTTGCTCTTGGGTCGGAGTGCTGAAGACCAGCGCTCTCATTTCCAGAAGTGGCACCGTGTCCAAGAGTCATCTCCGGGCGTTTGTGCAACGAAGTTAATCTTGCAGATAGTCAATTAGAAGCTAATATGAGGCAACTATTGCTAATAATAGAGGATGCCTAAAGAGATTAGACCAAGCTTGTGAGTGCTACTCCTATTCCTCTTGCCATGTTTGTGACTGCAGACATGCAAGTCAAAAGCTACAGACCATGTTGTAAGTATTTGTTTGCTGGGATTATTTTACATGCTAAGCCATTTTTGAAGGCTAGTGATAAAACACTCATGTGAAAGAAGAGCGTTTGGTGACTCACAGGAGTGTACTTCTGGGGTTCTGACTCTTTGTATTCTTTCCTGCCCCCAGGAATGGACAGAATGTTCTGAAGATGTGTCTATGAAAACAGCACTGTTTGGCACTTGCAAGTGAGAAAGCTTCTTCAAGTATTTCAGTATTAAGGCTTTTGATAGGCATGTGCTTAGAGAAAGAGGAGCTTGGCTCTTTCACTGCTTCCATTTTCTTTTACCAAAAATGTAGCTGATAGGTCACTTTTTCTGAAGCTGTTTGGACAGTTTTCATAAAGAAAACAACAGAAGAGACTCCTGATAGAGGAATCTTTATCACTTATTCTAATTATTAGGAAATTTCTGTTGCAGAATTCACTGACTGGTTTTCTTTACAATAACTAGTTCTTGGTGTTTTGTTGCAATATTTTCTCACTTAAATCTAAATATGCTATTAGGGAATGTGTCAAGCAATTTGAGTGTATAAAGAAGATATCTCTGTGGTTTTTGTTTAAGGGCTGAAAGTCCCCCTGACTGAGACTGTGTTTCAGGGAACTTGCAGCATGTCATCTGAAAGGCAATAAGAGACAGACATTTTTCCTTTTAATCAAAAAGAGGTCAGGAGTGTCCTCTATTCTGTGTTCTGTGTGGAATTCAGGTGAAGATGTTTTGAGGGAAACAAGAAAGGTGTTAAGGTGGCTTTAACCTGTAATTAGTGTGAAGTGGCATAGCACGTGCTTCTGCAACCTGTGATACAGTCTTGTAGCCATCACTGTGTATTTGTCTCCAGACAAACAGTTATTTCCTGTTTGTGTGTTAGGCTCTTCCTCTACACCATAATTCTGGATAAGAAAATGCCATGAAGGCTTGGCTTTGGGCTCTCCACACAGCTGGAATGGAGTGCTGGCAGAGACAGCCCAAAGATCAGAGCGGGGAGTGGCTAGAGACAAATAGTAGAGAACAACAACTGTTGATTTTTTGGTGTTGTTTTTGTTCTTTTTTTAATCCTTTTTATATTTACATGATCTATAGTTTTTATTTCTACAGGTAATTTGAACTGTGATCAGTTGTGGAGGGACAGTATGTAATTGAGTTCTTACATCTAACTTCACTAATTTCAAACTCCAAACTACTCCTGTCTTTAGAAGTAACACATAGAGCTTGATCAAAAACATATGAGAGACTTCATGGGAGTGGGTGTGTGTCTGTGATAAGAAATGAGCCAAAAAAAAAAAAAGAAAAGAGGTATAACATTGGTTTTGGGGTAGAAATAGAGCTTGATCAGTATATTTTTAGTTAAATTTAGTTGTGTTAACTAGTTTTATGTGTTCAAGCTTCACAGGATTAATCTCAGTGCATGTTTGGAATTTTAATTTCATGTGGCTGTTATGATAGGGGAGAAGGGATGAGAATAATAGACTAATGCTGCCATTTTTAAATAACTTTTAGGTGACTGGAGGCTCCAGTGGAATTGGAAAATGTATTGCTATTGAATGTTATAAGCAAGGTGCTTTCATAACACTGATTGCAAGAGATGAGGTAAAGTTATGTGTTCTTTTACTGGCTAAAGTATGTTCACAAGCTTCTGTTGGTGGGGAATCATTTTGGAATTGCTAACTAGTCATGCTTTTTTTCATTGAACTTAATTTGAAATAAGTAGGATGCATTGAGAGGGGGAGAGGCTGCCTTTGTGTTACGCAGTGTAGCCCAACACAGAATTTGTGATAGATAATCTTGGCGTACAGCTCCGACAAGCCGTGTCGCTTCTGTTAGTGGCATTTCGTTCTTTTAATGCCTTGATCTGTGATGGATGACAAAATCAGAGTCCTGTATTTTTGAAAACTCTAAAATATCCCCACCATACATCACAACTGGGGAATTAAGAATAAATACTTCAAATTCAGAGAATTTTCTGGAACTAGATAATCACTTCATTATACCTTACACTAGTCAAAAGCTACTCATCAAGAAAGCTTTAGAGACAGATATTTCATGTGATTTGTTTGTTTGCTTGTTTAAAGATGAGCAATTCCAACTGAATTTTGCTAAATTTTAATAAGGGTATTAGATTGGGGAGAAAAGTGATACTTCAGGAAATAAAACCTATTAAATTGCATCTGTGCGTGTAGACACACACAACAGCTTTTCAGTATTTAATAACTTAAAATTGAGGACTTACTTTGCATAACCTTGGGTACAGCTACACTTTATTTTTTTCTGGAAGAGAGCATGACAAATGAAAATTCAGTAAGTTCCAATTAACTTCCATGGTAATTCTGTGACATTTGTGTTCTTCAGAATTGTGTATATAATATTATATAAATAATAATAATAAAATAAATTTATAAGTACATAAAATAGTTTTAGGTGTTCTAAGCAGTTATGTGAAGCAGAGGCAATAAAACAATTATAGAAGTCTTTCTCACTTTAGATAAAGTAAAAAACAGATTAATGATTTCTGATAGCTTAATGAGGCCGATCGTTTGTTCATATATTCATCAATTTGTAAGATATCAGTAATTTTATATATATTTGAGGATAACTTCGTTAGAGAATATTTTAACCCGTTATGGAAATGTTCAAGACTAACATGCTGTCAAAACTGCAATGTTTTAGCTGCTTTTGTACCATTTCAGAACAAGTTGTTGCAGACCAAGAAGGAAATAGAAAAGTATTCTGTTAATGATAAGCAGGTAAGATCACTGCTATAAATAGCTAATGTGTTTTGTTTGTAAGATAGTGACTACAACATGAGTTTGGTAATTTGTTTATAAAACACTAGAGTGTTTGATTAAAAACAAGTGAAGTCTCAGAACTGTGTGTTTGAATTCAAAAAATGCCTGTCTGCCTAAATGCAGTGTTCAGCACTCTGCTGCATTTGATCTCACTTAGCAGATAAATCAGTCTGCTTTTCCGAGAGGAAAAGATTGATGTCTTCAGATGTAGCTGCTATAGACGTTTTTGGATAGCTCTGTTTTACAGCTATTAGTATATAAACAGTTGTAGTTTTCAGGATCAAGTGGAAGACATCTCTACCCAAAATCCTCCCACCTCCTCCTGCCAAAGCTCTCACTTTTTACAAGTGAGAAATGTTGTCTTGTAAAAGAAGCTTTGATGCCTCTTTTCATGATCTAATGCACTTCACCACGTTTATTCTTTTCACTGGCAAAGCACTCTAACAGATAAATTAATTTTCAAGTTCTGAGCCTTGCAAGTGCTAAAGGTCCAGTGCACGATGAATTCAGAGCCTTGGTGGATAAATAGTATGCTCTGGCTTAAAAGCATTGCTCTAGAGCTCTTTTGAGGTACCACTTTAAAGACGGTAAGTTTCTTATGTTTAAAAAAAAAGAATCAAGATTAATCAACTATTTTTTTCACAATATTACTAATCAAGGAGAGAGAACAGTGGGATTGCTGTGCTCCATAACTTTGTTGCTTACATGATTACAAATCCATGCAATTTTATTTGGCAATTTTATGTGGTAAGGGATTCTGTGTCTTATTGCCTGTAGCAAACACGTAAGTTTAGTTTGAGTTGGTAAAATTTGATAGACTATTAAAAAGAAGCACTGAAAAAAAAGCCTAAAGTTTGGAGGAAAGAATGTTAGCATTAATTGGCACTTTATTTTCTCAATACTTCCATTTATAAAATTCTGTCTTCACTTGCTAATAACTGTCAAATAGGCTAAATTGAGATGGAGAGAGGAGGTTTTCTTTTTTATCTGTCCATACCAGTATTGCTCAGATCAACATTGTTTTGAAAAATTAAGCCACTTGAGGTAAGGAGGGACTATCCTTCTTCCATTTAAAACAAACAAACAAAAAACAACAACAACCACAAAAACAGAAACCATTTTCTTTCAGTTGCCCTAGTAGTTTCCCAAGCTTTCCAAGGAAGATAATCCCTTGTCAAACAGTGTCTCAGGATATTCTTGTTAAAAATCTGCCTGAGCTTCACAGACTTTTTAATAGTACTTGATGCCTGCTCAGTAGGTGTCTATTGAAACCTCAGAAAGTACCTTCAATATCGAGCAAACTCCAGTGTGGACTAAAGAGGACTTTCTTCTGTAGTAGCATCCTTAGACTTGCATAGCTCCTAGGGCTGATAGAGGTAGCCCGAGTCTTCTGTACCCGTTGGTAGGTTGTAGACTCCCACAGGGAATCTTCCTGACCTCTTTTCAAAGAATAGAAGTGGAAAAGGCAGGGGGTTCAGAGCAGGGTTTGTGCTGGCACATCAGATAAGAATTGGGAAGTGGGGATAACTGGATTGAGAGTTATACAAAAAGATTAGGGAATGAGTTCAGGGAAGGATGATGTCTGGAAAGCATCTGCTTCACGGACTGATTGCTCCGCTTACTAGCTGAGACTGGGAAGCAAAGACTCTGAGGAAAAACTACTTTTTATATTATTATATAATGTCAAAATTCATCTCTTGGTGCCTGTCCAGAACCAGGCTGCATGGACATCGTGGTTTCTGGCACCTGTGTACATGTTAGTATTTGACTTGGCAAATGTTCCTTTAAAAAAATTTGCATGTGATTTATTTAGAGTGCTGATAGTGCAGCTTTATAGCTAAAGCTGTGCAATGAGACAAAATATTTGCCCTGCGAGGGTTGTTTTGCAATTTTTAAATCCATTTCCTGGTATGGAATCCTCCCAGTTGCTTCACTGGGAGTTGAATGTAGCTTCTATTGTGGAAGGAGCTCCGTTAATATCAAGACAATGCATGATTTGGAACAAAAGATGAGAAATAGGGATGGGGAAATTAGACTGTTTCTGGCAGCATACTCTGTTTCCCACAGTGCATGCTCTGGGAAGTGAGAGGAATGAGTATATTTTAGCAGAAGATGAAAACAAAATTAGCATAGAAGCAAAGAAGCGCATTATAAAAAGTGACAGTAGACATAAAGGTGGAGGGAGCTGTCGGGTATGTTGCTCGCTGTGTGAGTGACAGGTGTATGCGGTCTGGAACATGAATCAATTGTTCTAATTCTGATACGGAACCGTCACTTGAGCAGTAGAAACCTCCCTGATCTTGCAGAGACATCCACTTAATATTTCGATGCCTCCTTCACTCAACTATTCCTCTCTTCTCAAATTTCCATAGAAGTTCAGTACTTCCAAAAGGTACCAAATGCCCAGGGTTGGGGGCCTGGATGGAGAGCCACCAATACCTCACACCACAAGTTCACTTAGATTTCCAGATTCCTGCAGTGCTGCGAGGCAGGAGCAGCCAACCTGGGGCAGAGGAACCGCAGCAGCCACTTACACTGCGGTAACTTCTTTGTGGCCACGTGCTTTGTGACCAGCGGGCATGAGGCTGCTGAGGGCAAACTGGTGACTAGAGTTCGCAGTGATCTTGCTGACCCTGCGGTGGCCCTTGCAAACCGCCCTTTGCCATAGGCCAGTTTGGGGAAGCTCCAAAAGTGAGATTTTTTGAGACTGAAGCTTTCAAGCAGTAAGCGCCTAACTTCCATCTGCAACAAAACTGAGATGTTACTCTTACCAGTCATCTTTTTGCTCCCTGGGACACTGGTTGTTTTCCTGTGTCTGTATCTTGAAAACTAAAAGATCGTGAAAGAAAAGAAGTGGCTAATGTGTATCATCACACTAAAAAAGTTTTCAGCTTTTTTAACACTTAGATGTTCTAGGAAGTTCTAGGAAATGTCTTTTGTGGTGGTTGTCAAAGTAAGATTCTCTAATCATGGTCTTCTGTGATTTGGGGGAAAAAAGGTGGGTTTTTTGCTTGTTTGTTTTTGGTTTTTTGTTTTCTCTCCTCTTAAAAATAAGGTTAGGCCAGCGTGGTGATTTGTCTTGTGATTAGTGCTAATGAAAGATAAATTGGGGAGTTTTGACTGCTTTACCCAGAGTATTTATTGCTAAAATTTAGGTAAATAACTTAAGCCATAGTGTGTCTTAATGCAGTAAATTTTGCTTGTGAGTGGCTGCTTCAAGGATCATGAAGTGTTTTTTCATATATAAACATAATCTTTATTGTGCTAGAATAAATGGTAGATGGAATATTGCCTTTTTTCAATGTGGGAGAAATACTTTTTTGTCAAAATTACTTTTTCTGGGAAAGATATGTTGCTGGGTGCTGTGGAGTCCACAGTTATTTGGATTATTATGTTGTAAAGTATTCTTTCACCTTCATTTTTTTAGGTTGTGCTGTGTATTTCTGTTGATGTATCTAAAGACTATGAACTGGTGGAGAATGTTCTAAAACAAGTAAGGAATTAACTGATTTATCTGGGTTTCTTAAAGTTTCCTAAGCAGCTTATCTGCGTGCAATGCATTTCTGATGGAGATAGTTTCTAATAATGGTACTGGTAGCTGTGATTTTTTTTTTTTTCTTTTTGTGCTATAGAAAGGCTTTTTGCTAATGAAGGTTTCTTAACCCACCCTCTTCCCTGCTCCAGGCTCAAGAGAAGCTGGGGCCAGTTGACCTGCTTGTAAACTGTGCAGGAACGTCAGTTACGGGAAAATTTGAGGACATTGAAGTGAATTCTTTTGAAGTAAGTGAGCATACTTTGTGTGAATGGTTTGCTATTCAACTGTTCCAACAATTAAACCCATTCATGTACCTTTGCAGACTTCGTATTAATAACTGCACACATGCTCAGTGCTAACGTTCTGAACTAGAACCTGTCTTTAAATTTGCAAGGATTGGGATTGGATTTTCATCTAACTATTGGTTAACTGGTAAGGTAGAATAGTTAGTTCTCCCTTTGGTACAGGGTGAGACCTCAACATGGCAAAGGAGCCAGATGTGGCTTTCTGTAGTCCAGTGTACTGTGGAAGGCACTGAATTGGTCTCTATCTCTCTGTTTTTTTGTTCTCTCTCTCTCTCTGGTGACTATGTTTTTTCATACTTGCTTACCTGTTTCAGAAAAATCTGCATGTTAGCAATTCAACCCTGAGCAGTCTGGGTTGTTTGCAATTTGGTGCAGCCTGAAAAGTCGTTGCTTTGATGGAGTAACAGAGATTACCCTTTACAAACAAACAAACAAAAAAGATTTGGTTATCTATTTCCCCACCATGTAGATGGTACAGCCTACTGGTTGTGTTACAAACCTTCTAGAGAGGGGAATTAAAGATTTCTCCTTATCCTGTCAAAGATTGAAATCTCAAAAGCATAAATACCTGGTTTATTTCCCTTGTTTCCTGTTTTAGAAAGCTCTTTAAATTTTCAGTATCTTTTCATAAACCATGCATAAATGGATTACTTCCTGGACACTGTTTAAATCAAATTCTTTCTAAAACACATTTCTTTATTTCCATGAAGGCCATTGTTTCACAGTATCTTAAATGCTATTAAGACTTGTTTACTGAATGGATTTTCTTTTTGACTCGAGGTGAGGTTCTTGGCTATAAACGGTTTGTGAAAGGACAGATTAGAAAGCAATTATTTTTGCTTTGCCAGCTGATAGAACTGCAAATCTAGTTAGGCTTATTATTAAAATAGCCTGAAATGTTTTTCTGAGAAACGATACTGAACATTTAAAGGCTTCTGAATCTGCATGGCTTTAAATACCATATTAATATTGTTTGTGCAGAGATTAATGGGAGTCAATTATCTGGGTAGTGTTTACCCAAGTCGTGCGGTAATTTCCACCATGAAGGAACGGCGGATGGGAAGGATTGTGTTTGTATCATCTCAGGCTGGCCAGTTGGGCCTCTTTGGTTATACAGCTTATTCTCCAACAAAGTTTGCTCTTCGAGGACTTGCTGAAGCCCTTCAAATGGAGGTACGTGTAAAATGATATAAGTATTTTTGCTTAAAAAAAATATTTTATTTGTCTTGTGCAATACTTGTGTGCTGTGTTGGCTCCTTTTTGGCATCAGTACAATGATACTGCTCTGGATGAAATTGCAGAAACTAAGCTATTTCAGTTGCATAAGATCATCGTGTACAAACTTTTTCACAGAAAAGGCTCAGACTTTTCACTTAAGGCTTAGTTAAAATCTATTTCAGAGTTCTCCTATGAGAACATCATGGTATTTGAAGGCTCCATGAATGTATGAGCAGGCACCACTGAAGTCAGTGGTTCTTAAACTGTCTCTGAGGCCATACTAAGTGCCGTGTAAAGCGTATGGAATGGTAAATTCTCACACTTAAACTCGGAAGAGTTGACAGTGGCTCTTTTTCATTTGGTTGGTTGGTTTGTACTTGCTATTCTGTTATACAAATAGGCAGTTTATGGGCCTGTGAATGGTACTTCTATATTTTCATATAGAATGTTTTGTAATATAAGTAAAAAATACATACTATTTTGCAACATTTTGCCTTAAGTCTTTGAAAGTATTCATTGTTTGTATTGCAGTACAAGTTTGTGTTGTAGTATTTCTGTAATAGTCTTCCCAGGAGTGGGGCAGTGTGACAAATATATCTCAATGCATGATTAAATACCATCCTTACCTTGATACTTAATTCATTTTCTCACATTGGACTACATAAAAAAAGGCAATAGAAAATTTTTGTTACTTCCAAGTTTATTTCACAGATTCAAAAGCCTAGTGACTTCATTATGCCCCTTAAAGATACCAAACTTGAGTTTTATTTTTGTCTTCTTTTTTTCACATTAGCTAGCAGTGAAAATATATTAGCACAAGCAAGTTGAGTTCTGGTGTTCAGCAGTGATTTGGTTTCTATTTAAAACTGAATTCTGAAAAATTAGAGTTAAATTCTTTTCATGTTTCTCCTAAGTGTCTTTAAAACCACTTGGAGTTATCAAATAATATCAAATGAAAAGCTTTTGGAGTTTTTTTTTATTAAACCAATAACCAAACGCACATGACCGTCAGTTCTTGGCTGCTTTATTTCCTCATTAGATGTAGCTCCAGTCTTGCAAGTACTGTATGTAAAGGTACCTTAACGCTAGGGGTGGTTGCCCTCATGCTTGCTGTACTTGGTCATAAAAGGGACATTAACAACCTTAGATTGACAGTACTTACAGGTCACTTCTTAAGATAACATTTACTTCTGTAATAATACAGGTAAAACCGTATAATATCTACATAACAGTGGCCTATCCTCCAGATACTGACACGCCTGGCTTTGCAGAAGAAAGTAAAACAAAGGTAAATTCTTCAGGAATGCTACAATGTGTCTAGAGCTTTGCTTCGTAATAAGGAATGCATTTCAGATTTCAGTTCTGTAGGACTTTTCAAATTAGCGCACACTGAGACTTTGTGAAATATTTTGAATTTTATCAACTTCAGTATTCAGACTTAAATAGCTTGCGGGATAATTTTGTGTAGTTTATTGTTCTGTCTGTAAGTGAAATTTATGTGAAATGCATAGTAAAGTCTGACCACTGAGTATTGCCATGGAATGGTAGACTTGAAAAACACTGTGGTTGCTTTTGGTATGAAAGTTTAATAAACCAGAATTGTCCTAGTTGTACCTCTTAATAAAATCCTGCTTTGATATTTGTGGCAGATGAAAAATGAGCTCAAGTTCCTTCAGCAAACTGCAAACTAACCCTTCTGTGTAAATACACCCAGTGACAATGGCAACTGTTAAATTGTGTCTAATATTAAAGCAGGATGGAAACTTTTGCCATACATTTGTAGTGCAGATGACAGTATAGCTTTTCAGGAAGGTGTGGCGGCAGTAGGCCGTTTTACTTGGACTTAACTTAAAAAATGAATGTTTTGACCTTTAAAATCTATTTACCTTTCATCGTGTGCCGGCCTTGCACAAAAAAAAAAAAAAAAAAAAAAAGAGAGAGAGAAAAGGAAAAAAGAGAAGTAGGTGGTGGAGCTGCATCTTTAGGCCCCTTTTTCAGAATGGTCTCATTAACCAGGGAAAATGTGTCTAGCTTTTGCATGCTGTAATGTCTAAATCACACATTTAAGTAAACTGACCTTTTATAGATGGTCCTTCCAATGTCGTATGTCATAGGAAGTTCAGTTTGGGGTTCAGTTCTGTTTTCTTATGCCCTTTGGATAGAACAGCAGTGCCAGAATTAGGTATCTGCCAATACTCGTGTGGTTTGGACCTTCTTTAGGATTTAGGTTCTCTTCATAATACGCTGTTTCATCAAAATGCACTAGGATGATCTAGGATCACAGAATCACAGAACAGTTGAGGATGGAAGGGACCTCTAGAGATCATCTAGAGCAACCCCCCTGCTCCAGCAGGGACACCCAGAGCACGGGGCACAGGGCGGCATCCAGGCAGGTTTGGAAGATCTCCAGAGAAGGAGCCTCCACAGCCTCCCTGGGCAGCCTGTGCCAGGGCTCTGTCACCCTCACAGTGAAGAAGTTCTTCCTCACATGGAGATGGAACTGCCTGTGTTTCAACTTACACCCGTTACCCCTTGTCCTATCACTGGCCACCACTGAGAAGAGTTTGGCCCCTTCCTCCCTACATTCCCCCTTCAGGTACTTATACACATTAATCAGATCCTCAAAAACAGGCCCAGCTCAATCTCTCTCTCTCTCTCTCTCTCTCTCTCTCTCTCTCTCTCTCTAAGAGCTCCAATGAGATTTGGCTTATCGATGGGGAAAAAAAAATACGCTTTAGGCTTTCTTTTATTACATATGCACTCTTCAGGTGACTTGGTCCTAGCTTTGATAGTTGATGAGTGTACCTCACACGCCTGCGCTATTGTGTTGCTCTAACGTTACTGTCACATATACACAGTGCTACTTAATTTAGAATGTCTGTCATTGTATTTGCATCCCTTCAGGACAGCCAATTTTCTCTGCACTCATTTCTGACGTTCAGTTTAGGTACCAAAGGAAAGGAGGGGTTTCTAGAGGATTGTTCCCCCCACCCCACACCCATTGTTAATCAAATGAATCTGCTCATTAATACTAAAATTGAGGTGGGAGAAAGTGTCAGGTACCAGGGTACATCCTTCTTGCATGTTACACCTTTCTCTTCAAGGTAATTGCCTGACAAACAGCAGTGCTTTGTCTGATTGATTATAGAGTATTTAATGAAGGAGTTTTGCTTGCTTTGTCCTCAACATTAACTTTCATTAACTTTCATTAACTTTCGTCTGCCATCCTGAACACCTTTTAAATTTCTGTCCCTCTTTCAGGTTTGGTTGATATTGGCAGGTGTGATCAAAAATGCTTAGGGGCAGTAAGATGCTGTTCTGGTGTCATAAGTTTCTCTGGGGAGAAAGCATATAAAAATAAACATTAAATTGAACTGAACTTGCCATTACAAGTTGACTTGTGCCTTTTTAATTTAGTATTATTTTTGCTTTATCAACAAAATCATCTGCCATAATATATTAAGCAGTTGAACAGATTGCCATGCATTTAGTTCCATCAGCACTTGGATTCTTAAAAAGCCCCTGAATGAGGAACTTGATTCTAGATACTTTTAAAACATGTTTTTGTTCTTGGTGTTTAGTGTTTCTTCTTGCAGCAGACCAACTTTTGTTCTTGTAAAAGGAATTCTGATTGCCAAAATAACTGTTATAATTGCTTTCTGCTAGTGAGAGAAAATGGCATAAATACTCTAAAATACAAAGTAGTAAAATAAAAAGAGAGTTTGTGGTTGATGCTGGCAGATGGAATTTGAGGGGGGAAATCTATGTGTGACTTTGTTTTGGGGGAGCTTAAAATATTTGAGCCCTATCTTATTCTTCATTTTAGGCACAAACCACAAATGAGCACATTTTCTCATGTGTGATGAAGACATAGTTTAAACATTTTAATAGCTGATGTTGAAAATAAAATACTTGAGGAAGAAAAAGACTTTCTGATATTTTTAGTAATAAAGTACAAGAAAAATATTACCCCAACCAGAGTCGACAGTTCCCTTCATGAATTTCGACTGATTTATGAAGTTGCTTTCAGCTTTTTTTTAAAGCATTTCTATTAGTAGGCAGTATGATATCACTTGCCAGCAGCGACAAGTGTCATCCGTGACAAAAGAAACAAAAGAACATTTCATCTTGTTGTTTTTTTCCCGTGTTGTTTGTCAAACTTACGCTCTTTTTCCCATTAAAGCCTTTAGAGACAAAGCTAATTTCTGAAACCTCGTCTGTTTGCCAAGCAGAACAAGTGGCCCGAGTTATAGTCAAAGACGCCATAGTAAGTAAATAATTTAAATCAGACCTTTGTAGGAGAGACTGCACGTAATGCCTATTTAAAGATATAATAGTGTAGCTAAGCTAAATGCAAAATCACTTATTTTATTTGAAACAGTGTTCTTTGGTTCGTTTGGAAGGGAAGCATTTTCTTTTTTCTGTTCTTGCCAGCATTCCCACAAATGATTTTATACAGTTTCTTGGAACTAAAAGGTGTCTGAAGTGCATTAGACAAAACAAGATGATGCAGCAGTATGATGTCATGTCTCAAAGACAAATTATGACTTTCTTTAAAGCATTAAATTATACTGACTCTTTATTCCTTCAGTGCTATTTGTCTAACCTCAGAGCTTTCTTGCTTCTTATTTATCTTGAACTTCAGTTAATCTTGAAATAATTTTTATAATAAATAAAAGCAGTTTAGCTCTCTTTGGCTTTTAGCATTTTAAGTGTACGATGTTTGGGTGATTAAAAACCAAAATCCTACCCTTAATAGTTAAGGGAATAATGTCCTAAGTTTTTCTTATGGTTTGTGCTATGGAATGCTGTCATTTTTTGAAAATGAGAAGTGGGTGCAAAGGACACTGTTTTGGCTATATGTTTCTAAGAATTGAATCACATGGAATTTCACTTAAAAATCATAAAAACTGTAATTATTTTACACTTGCAAGTGCTCTTGATCTTCAACACAACTTACCTCTGAAGCAGATGTTTAATTGTGAAGAGTTTGTGGGGTTTTTTTTTTTCCAAATAAAGCACACACCATCTTGGGAGTGGTGAGTTTTAATATTCAGTACAACCTCACATAGTACCTTGTGTTGGTACTTGCAGGAAATGCAGGTCATCCCTCCTGTCTTTGAGTGGTCTGTTAATTCAGATAGGATCTCTTTGCATTCGAGCCGTCAGCTGAGAGACTAAAAGCAGCTCTGTACTGTAGGAACTCCCAGTCCTTTCAGGTGTGAGCAGGGAAATACCTCAACCACATCTCATATCCTCTGCTATTCATGGATTCATTGCAAAACCTGATTTGGGCAAATCATGTTGTCTTTTCACTTCTACATTCCGTGCGTCTAGTCCCACATGTCCCAGAAAGCCTTTTCCTTGCATGAAATCTTTTAGAAGCAAGTGGAAAAAGTCTGGGAGTTGAGGAGCTGCCATTTTCTGATTATCAGTAAAAAAAACAAAAGGAGAGAAAAAAAAATTTGGAGGAGGAGAGGGCGTCCTCCTATATCCTTTTCTCCTGCAAGCTGAATTGCTTACGTTTTGAGAAGAGCAAATCAAAGTCATGATCCGCTGGAGACATATTTAGCTTTTATGATAGCCAAAGGAGGAGGGAGCTTTCAAGGAGGAATTTAGTCTTTCCTCTATCTCAAAGAAAGCTGCAGTAGTTTAGTGTACTTCTGTAAAGAGAGGAGTTCATTTTTAATTGACTTTTATTATCAATGTTGCTGCGTAGCACAATATTTTTTAATTTTCTGATCTTCTTAGTTGAGTTAATATTTTTACATGTAGATATTTCTTGTTACTGATTTAAGTCAACTTAGATCAATGAGAATAATGTCAAGCCACCTTGTGCTTTGCCACAACTGAGTAAATAACTTTTTCTTAATTACTGTTTTCCTCCTGTCCAGCAAGGGAACTTTAACAGCTCAGTTGGATCAGATGGTTACATGCTATCAATATTGACCAGTGGAATGTCACCAGTGACTTCTATTACAGAAGGTCTCCAGCAGGTAATTTTGGGAAGGCCGTATAATCATGATTTCATGATCTGAAATACTTGAAAATGTAAAATGTTATGCGAGTCCTGATTACTTTTCTGTTAAATGGTTCTTGATACAGTGACCATGGGTTCAGGAGGCTGAACTAATATTTTCAAGCTGAAGCAGCAGTTTGACAGGAAAGCTAAGACTAGTAACAGCTACCAATCCTGAACTACTGAGTTGGGCTTTCCTGAGCGTGTTCTTCTTGAGGTTGCATTGCATACTTACCTGGAACTTTTTTCTTTTGTGGGTGAATACACTACAATCACAGGAGATTACATGAACTGAAAACTGTTTCTCTCTGTTTCCAGGTTGTTTGCATGGGCATTTTTCGCATCTTTGGCCTATTTTACCTAGGAAGTTTTGACAGCATAGTTCGTCGCTGCATGATGCAAAGAGAAAAGTCTGAAAGTGCAGATAAAACGGAATAGTCTTTATTGTTAAATGGACAGAAGAAGGTTAAACAGTCCTGGACAGCTTGCTGCTAAAGTGGGGCTCGGTTATCTCCTGAAGGCTCTAGGGAGAGAGGATATGTGTAAGTGACAGATGAGTCCCCTCAAAAGCCATGAATGGAAATGAAAGTACAACTCCAGAAAATGCCAAACTATGCAAAAGTGTGAGGATTAGTTTTCTTTGGTGATTTTTAGTTGGAGAAAATTTTGGGAACTTCTTTACATGATCTGCAGGGAGAATTTCAGAATGGACTGTGTGTGGTAATTCTGGACAAATGCTTAAGTTTTCTAACATTGGTGCTTACAGACAAAATAAGTACCATGATTTTTCTGGGCTGAAGTAGATTGAAGTCCCAGCAATAAGTACCAACTTGTTGAAAACATCTTGGGGCTGTTTTAAAATTCAAAAGTTAACTTTTCCTTCTGTTAAAAGTTAACAAACCCTTCTGTCCGTGATAGCTTTCCTCATTCCATTCAAGATGCAAGTATGCACCTTAATATGGCAGATGTGCTTGTATGATCCAAGCTTTCTCAGTCTGGGATTAATTAAGAAGTATGCATGGATATATATATATACATACTTTCTAAAGGGAGATGAAGAACCCATTCCCACAGAGAAATGCTAGGAGATTGACCAGGTCTGTAGCTCTTCTGGCCTTTGAAGTATATTGTGAACAGAAAAATCAAACCAGTATCACACGTGGTTTATGACTTTCAACGTTTTAAGCCATTGAAATTGCTATATAACTTTTTCAGATACTTACTATTTTCTTACCTGCCAGTTTTGGCTCTGGAAAGGAAAGCAGGATTATGCTACTGCTGTGGATGTTATTTTTAAAAACTGCAAATGATGAGCCAAGCTACTTGATGGTGGAACCAATTGTAATTAAAATGCCGGGCTTTTCCAGTAGCAGGAATGTAGCTTTTGGGGTAGAGTGGGAGGTGGGTGTCAGAATGACATTCCATGCTTAATTTTATCACTTCAGAAAAAGACTTTCACATGGCAAGAATTGGTTTAAATTACTCTCTTGGATTTTCACTTGCATTGTATGAATCAAAGCTGCTGCGTAACTCTGCCAGAACACACAGAACCTGATGGTTGTTCCTAATAAATCTATGTTTCTAACACTGAAACAGCTTGATGCATAACACTGATGTTATAAGGGTGCACTGTATATACTGTTCATTTAACAGATCACTATAGCAAGTGCCTTGTGAGCTTTTTTGTCCCCCAAAGCTGCAAACTTTGTATTTAACATTGCTCTGTTTTTAGAAGTCTTATTCTCAGTCTGAACTCTGAGTCTATAATTGCTGGTAAAACCGGGCACTTCCTCTTCCTCAGAAGTGGAATTTACAAGCAACTAGGCAAAATTCTTTATTAAGAAACTCTCTATACCCATTTAAGGAGAGGTATTCAGTTAACCTAGGATGAAAGACTATAGGTGGTTTAACTGGAACAACTTTGAATGTAACTTATTATGGCTGTTTATTTTCCCTTTCCCAGTTCAGTTGGTCACTTGTTTCCTTTTCCACGCAGACTAAACTTATTTCAGTATCTGCTTTACACACTGGGTGGCTGTCACATTGGCAGTCTCGTTTTGTATGGTTAGGCTTGCATTACGTGGCAAATGTTGAGGCATTGCAGAACCCTTCACAAAGCCTGCACCTTAGGACCAGACTCGCAGATCTTTTAGATATGTGAAGCTGTGCATGCCTGTGACATTAATTGTGAGAACAGCGTGTATTCCTGTTTTCTTCTAAAACAACTGAGTGTTAGTGCAAAGAAATCTCGTCTGCATATGCATTTTCTGTGCTGCTTAATGTGAATGGCCTGTAAAGGAGCATTTATTGTACGTCCGTTGTCAATGTTGCTATGTTAAAGAGAAATAACAGTGTTTTTGGGACCCTAATATCTATGCTAGTTTTTGTTTTATCAGATGTTGATGTAAATCAAGTACTACTTTGACCATCTGCAAAAGGATAACAAAATGAGCGAATCAGTGTTTTGTAGTTTGAAGTACTGATAAAATTGACTTTGCATCAACACAAGCACGAAGGTCAGGACTTAAAACCAATAAGACTTTAGTAGATACTTGAATTTTTGGGTCTTCAACTTGGGCTCTTAAAAAGTTTGCATTTAAGAAACAGTAGTAAGTCAGAGCACACACACTGTGAAAACTGGGCGTCCTTCAGGTGGGACATCTCACATCACCAAGCACTTTTTCTGAAAGCCTTGATGGATCACTTCTCCAAATAATGATTCATAATTCAGTGCAAGTGTTTTCAAAGAAGCAAGCATAATACTGTGTGGCCCTGGTCTGGTAGAGATTTACTAAGTTCGCACCTAATTTTGCACGATGCAAGGAGTGGCATTGATTGTCGAACTGTAGATTAAATCCCTCAGGGTTTCTGGAAGTTTGAACCAGGCCAGTGGGGGGTTGTTGTTGTTTTGTGTGGGTTTTTTTGTTTGTTTGTTTTTGTTTGTTTGTTTTTTTCTTCCAGAAGTAAAAATAGTCCTTAAGTGTTCTCATTTTTCTTGTTGCAAATTACTGCATTTCACTTTAAATGATAAACCTTGCATTTGTCCTGTTGTCAAAACAAAGTCATTTGTAACTACAGCAACCTAATACAATTTTGGCATTTTGTTTTCTTCCGCCCATTCTTGATCCACCAACACGCTCATCTTCAGGTCCAGTAATAAGTGAAGGAGATGCCTTATAGCCTTGTGAGGAAAAAATGATGAACAGCCTAAAAATTTTTGCAAGGCTACGTGTAGTTAAACCCCTGCATCTCGAGTTTTTAGCAGCATGTTAGATCCATGAAGAACTTCAAATATGCTTTTTTAATTTTGTCAAATTGTCAGTAATTCATACCTGTGCCATATCTGCCAATGTCTTGTCTTTTTTTTTTCTCCCCCACCCAGCCAATCAATGTAAGATTGAATTTAGGCTTCGGTAGTTGAAACAAACCAAATCTCTTCCATTTGATGTTTCTAATGATGGTCTGCTTTAAATACAGTTTTATTATAACTTTACATATAGTTTATTTCACCAAGGTGTTCATGTGCAATTTGAATAGATTTGATATTTTACTAAGAAAAAAAGATATAGGTAAATGAAGTTATTTGCTGTGAAAAACTACAGGCACTTTTGAATCGTAAAAATGTATAGCATTATTTGTAAAAAGAAACTTTGTGCTTATTGCTTCATCATTTTTGTGCCAGAACTGTAAACTAGTTTTCATATTTTGTATTTCTCAAAATAAATGGAGAATCAACAAAGCTCATAACTTTGAAGTTCTTGGTGACTCCTTTGGTGGACTGGTTCAGCATGATCCTCTTAATTTGTTTGGTGGGGGGAGACACCATTTTGGCAACTGGGAGTTTCACAACAGATGATGAAGGATGTAAAGAAATGCAGTGAACATTTTCCCAAAGACCCAGTATTGTCAAACTGTAGTGAAAGTGGTATTAAATTGGCCAAAACTGCCTTTATTGCAGGAGAAGGTGCCAGTATGTAACTAGTGGTTGTCTCTGAGTGCTGGTAAACCAGAGGGCTGTGTTGCAATCCAGAGGGACCTGGACAGGCTGGAGAGTTGGGCAGAGAGGAACCTCTTGAGGTTCAACAAGGACAAGTGCAGGGTCCTGCACCTGGGGAGGAATAAACCCAGGCACCAGTACAGATTAGGTGTGGACCTGCTGGAAAGCAGCTCCACGGAGAGGGACCTGGGAGTCCTGGTTGACACCAAGTTAACCATGAGTCAGCAGTGTGCCCTCGTGGCCAAGAAGGTCAATGGGATCCTGGCCTGCATCAGGAGAGTGTTGCCAGCAGGTCAAGGGAGGGGATCCTGCCCCTCTACTCAGCTCTGGTGAGGCCGCACCTGGAGTACTGGGGGCAGTTCTGGTCTCCTCAAAACAAGAGGGATATGGAGCTCCTAGAGAGGAAGAGGCTGCCCAGGGAGTCTGTGGAGTCTCCTTCTCTGGAGATCTTCCAAACCCGCCTGGATGCTGCCCTGTGACCCGTGCTCTGGGTGTCCCTGCAGCAGGGGGTTGGACTAGATGATCTCTAGAGGCCCCTTCCAACATCAACCATCCTGTGTGTGTGATTATGTAAGAGCTCTGTGGCAGGACTGCTTAAGTACGTAGCTCCAAGTTAATTAATAGTAAGGAGAAGTAACCCTAAAATGGTAACTTAGAAAGTAAATCTAGAATCACAAAGTTCATTATTGGAAAGCCATTCTTACTAAGTTGCCTGAGACCTAAAATCAAAGATGTGTTTTAAAGTTAAAAGAGGGGCTGATGCTCAACTTAAGATGTTGACTAATTTGAAGTTTTGTCATTGAGGAAGGCCGCATCACAACTGCAGTTTACTACTTTTATTGAAGAGAAAAATTACTGCCTTTCAGTAAAAAAAAAAAGTAGCAAGCTAAAATAGAGAAGCCCTCATTTTTCTTTGTAATCAGATTTGTCTGGTTATACCATTGCCTTTGTCTGGGACCAAGCCCACAGAAGAGTTGGTGCACGTTTGTCGCCTGTGAAAGGTGGCAGCCAAACCTTATGAACCAACTTGCCTTCCTCTGCTGCTGGGTGGAGACTCGAGAGAGAGCCAGAGAGCTTCAAATGTTGCCTCTCTTCTGCCCCACCTTCCACCTGTCTCATTTTTGGAGGGAAGGGACCATAAACTGAGAGGCTGAGGGATTTCTTCTTCCTCGCTTTTATTTCAGATCCAGTGAATTGGTGAAAACAAAGGCAACATTGTGCTGCTGCTGCCCCTTTTTGTTGGAGGTGGCAGGGAGGGGGCTGCCTGTACACAGAAGGTTACCCCGAAGGAAGTGGGAAGTGCAAGAGCTTTCTCCAGAAACGCCTTTCACGCTCGAGAATAACGCCTTCCAGAAAGGGAGGCATCGGAAGGCCTGCTCCTCGGTGAAACGCTGAGCGAAAGACCCTGATACCGAGCCTCCACTGTGATAGCGTGCCACCGAGGCGGCCTGAAGTTACATGTTTCTCACTTGAAAACAAGTTTGTTTTCAACCTGGAGGGAAATCCCCATGTTAATTTTAAAACTTTCGAGTTCTAAGTATGAAGTTCACTCTGTAGAAGTGCAATGTAAATAAGCACAAGGTGGTAAAGCAAGATTTAAGATTAGCATTGAGCTCAGATTAATAAATAAAGTGGACACATTCCACTGATCAAAATAAGGTTGTTGCCTCTATAGATAACAACTGTAAATAAAATGTGTGAGTATGCACATATATATATATATATATATATAGAACAGCAAGTCCAGCAAGAATTTGGAATCCTCAAGATAATCTGTGACTTAGGAGAATATCCCTTTCAAAGCCAACAGGTGATTCAAACGTAATTAAATTAGATATATTGGCCTTCAGTTCAAGGCATTTACTTGGAAATGCCTTCCTTTGAGAAAATTTAAAGGGGGAATTAAGCTTGTGGATCGAAGATGAACATGGATCAGATATTTGCCACACGCTTCACATTTCCTGTTCTTCCACACACATTTTTAGTGTAACAGTTTCCTTTGTTCTTGCTCTGCTGCGTAGATGGGGAGTAGGGTCTTTGATTCCTTTTTATTCTCTAATAGGAAGAGTGTTTGCAGCATTGCCCAAACCACAGGAGTGCATACAAGCAGAGCAGCTTGAGAAAGGTGGTGAAACAGCTGAGGTGCCGTTAGGGAGGAGAGGAGAGCCCAGAGCCCACTGCGATGCCGCGAGGCGGAGCTGGCAAGGAGAGCACCTTGCGGAGATGCCTGCAGTGCCCGATAGCTCCAGCTGGATGCGGGCATCTCGCTTCCCTCAGTCAGGGAGACCCTCAAGGCCTGGTAGGCGCAGGTAAGCGTTTAAGGGGTGAGTGCAATAAAAGGGGTCGGAAAGTCAGGGATCGTTTGCCATGCTGGACCTTGAGGAGATGGTGGAAAGGCCTCGTGCTGCTGCCCTCCCCAGTAAGCACAATTAGGGCCCCTGTAAGTGTGCCCCAAGCTTTCTGCAGCAGCACTGTAATATGCACTGTAGTGGCAGCAAGTGTCCTCCCTACACATGTAGTGTCTGCAACGTGGCCAGGATGAAAGGCAGCCTCCTGGATCAGGAATGCACTTGGAAGAAGCGCTAACGTCCTCAGCTTAACCTGCCACCGTTGTGCCCAAAAATGAGGAAAATAAGCGTCCGTGACATTTGGATGCTTACTTTCTTCATACCTTTTACGTACAAAATGCCTTCCCTTAACAGCATGTCATTCCATTGACCCCAACTGCTGCTTAGGCAACACTTCCCTCAAAACTGATGGGGCTTAGCAATAAAGGGGCTTGTGCACTTGACAGCAGGGAGTTGTATGCTTTACATGCAAGTTTGTAAAGCAGTGTGGCTTTCAGGACGTTCCTTGCAGCATCACAAGGATCCCGCAGGTCCATGCGCATGGTGGTGTCACTGAGATAAACAAACGTGCAAGACAATGCAATCAATGACTACTTTTAAGTCGGGGCAATGTTAGAGGGATAGAACAGAAAGCTCTTGTGTTCACAGAGGCACGCGTAGCAAATACGTGAGTGCAGCTGGCATAGGAAGGAGAGACACCAAACGCATTCAGCAGAAGAAAAGCAGACGAAGCACAGCTGTGAGTGGAACAGAAATTTGCATCCCTGGGCTTATCACCAAGAGACATTTATAGGGCCAATGGTTATGTGAGGAGCAGCCTGGCCATCTTCTTCTGTGCAAGTACCCCGTCTGCAGGCACAATCTTAGTGAGTTCTTTCAAGAAAAACAGCATTTAAGCTGTGGTAGCCTGTTGTAATGGAAAGGACTTTGGTTGGCATATCCATGTTTGCGTATACCAGTCAAACTACTATTTTTGGATTACTCAGATTTAGCTTTTTTGGGAGGGGGGATCCTTTTCTATTTGTCTTCTCCCTCTCTTTCTTTTTTCTAGATTTGTCCCAGAATAGAAAGCCTTGCTCTTGGCTCTGCAGTTTTATAGCAAAAAAAGGCTGCAAGATCCTTGCCCACCTTGAGCCCCTTACCCGGTCCCAAAGAGCCTGCTCAGGCAGCACTTGGCCCAACTGCTTGCTTCTCCCGCCTTGCCGACCCACGATCCATGGAAATAACGGGTGGGCAGGTCACCAGGAACCAGGGCTGTTGCTGAAGGCCTGTTGGTGTTCGTATTAAGACACAAGGAAAAGGTGTCCGCTCGCAGACTGTCATTAAGGTTGGTGTTGCCAGGAGTGAAGAGCGTTTTCTCGAGTGTTTGTTAATAATGCATCGTGCATCTGAGAAGCTACCAGAGAAAGAGCAGGCACTGAGAATCCCTGCGTGCTCTGTGCCCGCGCACAGCTCAGAGAGCCACTCAGTAACTGCTGTCCTCCACATCGCCAGGCCTGCCTGGTACCCGCTCTCCGTGCTCCTTTTGCTGTACTCATCCTGTAAACTTTCACCACGCAAGCTCCTTTCGTGTGAGCTTCTCCAGTACTCCTAGTTTCTTTTCAATCCTTAACACAGCCAGTTCTTCTTTTACCAGTCTGCATTTAAATGTTGACCAGTCTAAATAACCTTCAGTGGGACAACTCACATAAATGTGTGCAGAAGGATTTACAGGGTCAGATCCTCAGTAGCAGATTTACTACACTGCTCCCTAAAAGCACTGCACGATTTAACAGACTATGCAATCACCTGATGTTCCTTGAAAAAACATCAGCCTGCTTTGCTGCTTTGTTTCTATATTCTCCCGATAAAAATCTTTCCTTTGCTTTAGATATATTTCTTAACTTCCCTTTTATCCCATTGAGCTTAAACAAATAAACAAGGTAGAAAACAGTATTGTGATGCAAACCAGTGAAACTTTAATGCATGCTCATCATCCACTCAGGTAACATTATAATTAGTTGATGCCACTCCCTTAAATTACAGTCATAAATGCGGGTCAGATGCAATGCATCTGACAATGAGTTAAGAACAAAAAAGATGGTACAAATGCACATAATTTTTTTTTTCAGGTAGCCTAATTTCTCATTCTTTAAGGCACAGTTTTTGTTCTTTGACTCATCCTTAATGTCCTTGCTCCAAGTAAACAGTTGCTAGGATTTTTTTTTGTATTTTCCATCTTTCTTTTGGTACAACCTCAACTGTGCTTGGCATTAACATTCTTTCTCATGAGGCATGAACACTGTTTTCCTATTAGCTTCTAAAAAGTTTACCAGCTGGGATCTTTCAATGTTGTATTACATAGTAAGCTTCTCAATACTAGGCCAGTGGGGAAAAAAAAAAGCATCATTAATAAATACATTCCAAAAATGTATCCCGAAGTTTTGCTGTATCTGTTTCTGCCCAAAATCAGTTCGACTCTCTAATATTATTTTATTACACCATTTGTATGCAGCAGCCCTGCTGGTTATGGCCGCTCTGGTTTTCGTGTCACTGGCTCGGTTAAAGCCTCCGCGGCGCCTCTCCGTACGGGCACCCGATTTTCGCTGGTGGCACCAGAGGTAGAGCTGGTGACTCTAGAGCCAGAGCCTCGTTTCAGTGGTGGCCAGCGACAGGACTAGAGGAAACGGCCACAAGCTGAGGCACCAAAAGTTCCACAGGAACTTAAGGAAACATTTCTTAACAGTGAGGGTGACAGAGCACTGGAACAGGCTGCTCAGAGAGGTTGTGGAGTCTCCTTCTCTGGAGATCTTTAAAACCCGCTTGGATGCAGCCCTGTGCCACGTGCTCTAGGTGACCCTGCGTGAGCAGG